AGACTAAGGCTAGATGAGTTGAAAAATCATATTGTGTATTTGATTAGGTTAAGTGGAATAATTGTTGTAAAAGAGTTTGTGAAATGAAAGTTAAGAAAACAATGGTTTAAAGCAGTATAAAATCGAATCGACCTTGAAACAATTAATAGACTAGGGTTATTCTTCACTAAAGTACTTCATGAAACTGGATTAATTACTTCTCAAATAGTGTTTCACAATAAATTCAGTTAGCCTGGGTTTATAGAATTGATTAAGCTTTCTCAAGTCAAAACCAAATGTTGCAAACACAATCAAAACACAGCAATCTCTTGCATTTGTTTGAAAGTTGCTCTTTAAAAACCAAAACCCATTTAGTCTATGCTAGGTCAACAGATACATCTCTGATCAATCAACAAACCATCTATTCACTCACATAAATTTCTGGACTAGCATGTTTTTACCAAAGTTCATGAATTAGTTTAACTTTCTCAAGTTAAACTAATCAATCAATCAATCCAAATGATGGCCAGACAAAAGGAAGCATTAAGCTCAAAGTAAAAACAACTGAATATTATCATTAACACTAAAGAGATAGTAAAACCCAAATCTCAATCCATACAATAGATCAAAATAACCCTAGAAAAACGGATTTAGCTATACATGGCAAGTAAAGAACTACAACTATAGGAATATCTAGTAGTCATAGTAGAAACAAGAAGGGAAGAAGAAGGAAACCCAGAAAATTTAAGATACAAGCTTTGAATCTCTTCTAGCTTCAAGCCCAAAAGTTCCAAGCCTTCAAAACTCCAAACCCTAGCAGAGCCAGCCTCCATTGCTCCAAAAGTCGAACTCCCTCTGAAAAAACCCTTCTCTCCCTCTAAAGCCCTAATTTTTTAAGTTAGGAAGTAAAACGCACAGCTGCAAGGGGCCAGGCGCCGCGGCGGATTGCTTCAGGCGCCGCGGCGCCTATTACAGAATGGATTGTCAATCAGGGGCCGCGGCGCACGTGATAATAGGCCGCGGCGGATTTCACCGAACGGGTTGCTTCCTGATATAGCTAGGGCGCCGCGGCGGCTGCATCAGGGCGCTGCGGCGGATTTCACAGAGGCTCAGCTTTCCCTCTCTGTGTGATCCGCCGCGGCGGATTCTTCCATAGGCCGCGGCGGATGCTTCTTTTCAGCTCCTCCTCCATTCTTTACTCTCCTCAGGCTTTGTTTCCTGCAAAATTGACTTATAAACCCAATAAAAGAATGTTAAATCAGCTTAATTAAGTAGGAATTTTGAGAGGTTATCAACAACTTGACAAATCAAAGTTGGAATCTTTATTGCAAGAGGTGTCTATATTTAATACCTAAAAATGTCTTAAACAGATAGATGGTAAAACAGTACTATGCTCGAGGGTGTTATAGCTTAACTGATACCAAATACCTTCCTCAAAGCCTTGTCAAGTACGAGATCGTGAGTTCCAAATTCATTAGGCCAGATCTAATGACCAATTTTTTTTTTTGGGAAATACAAGGCCATGATCATATATACTGCAGAAACACAGAACTAGAATTTTTTTTTTCTCAGGCCAAAAGAAAAGGGCAGAACGAATTAGAATGTGAAAATTTCCTACACCCAAGTGGCTCCACTGACAATTTCCTTAATATATTTAAATTAGTTAAGTATATCTTATACTACCTATCGTCTTTAACATAAAAGCTAGTTGACTAATTTGAATAGATTAAGAAGATTAGTTGAGTTAGTTATTTTTAATAAATAAGTGTTATCTTACCTAAAATACTATTACTAATTGTGTTATTAATTAGAACTACTATTTGATAACTTTTAACATGTACAATTATTACAAGAACTATCTTAGTAAAATTTGGATAAATATAAGACATAAAGTAAATTGGGATTTTATATTTAGGACTAAATTGAATGCCAAATTAAATTAACTTTTATATTAAGAAACATAGGTGATATTGAGAATCGGATGTAGTATTATATATAGAGTTATGGAATGCAACAAGAAAGCAAATATGATCAACCATTGTGCAGATATAGTATGGCTAGAGCAGCTCATCGTGTTAAGGAGTCGCAGGTTGTGTTAATACCAGAAGTACCTTCGTGGTACAGAGAAGGTTTTCTGCTGGACAAACCATATGCTGAAGGCAATCACTAGTACTCCTCATCTAGTTAATTTGTTTTGACTTTTTCTTTCAAGCTTTGCTTGCCACTCGTAAACCCCAAAAAAAAAAAAAGAAGAAGTGAATTTGGCTCCAATAGCCTCCTCTTTGTTTTTTTTTCTCTTTCCAATTATTACTCGGGTTGTTAATTTTGTTCTTTTGTTTCATTTCTAAACTTTAATTTACATTGCTTTGAGTCAGGAGAGAAGAGAAGTGGGATATTGGAGGACTAATTAGAAGCATATAGCCTCATTTTATGAAGGGAGGAGGGCATATACCATCTTTGATTAATTTGACTGTAGATAATAACAAAATTCAATTTATTCATGTTGTAAAGCAATCTTACACAAATAGAAGTAATACCTAATTAACTAATGTCCAGCATCAAAGTGTCCTACACCAGCAATAAGGGATTGAGAGCCTTCAAGTGCTTCACTTGGGGGAGAAGGTACCCCGTGTCCTTTACCTCGGGGGCTTGGCCCGGCCTTCTTGATATCCCTCAGATCCAACCTCTCCAAGAAATTACCCTCATAATTATGTTGCAGTAGTGATGAACTTGTGATGAAAGGCCTGGCTTCTGACATGGATCCTGCAGAAACCAAGAGAAGAACCAACATGAAGCACTTCAACTTACTGATCTCATCACCCATATTCATTTTGATCTCACTGCTGTGAATGTAATTAATATGTCTAGCAGAGTAGTGGAGAATATGATGATAAAAGCTGTTTGAGGATGACTATTTATACGTGTGTGGGTGGGGGTCCTTTGATTTGGTGATCCTAATGATCTAAGAGGTCATTGATTTAATTCCTAAAGCATATATTTTCGAATCCCTTCTTCGTTAAATAATGAGCACATATTTGGATATTATTTATCCAATCTGATTCTTGGACTTTGGACTTACTTTTTTAATTTGCTGCTGTTGGAACAATAGCATAAGTGATGCTGATATTCCAAAGGGTAGATGATAAATCTTGACGGTCCAGGTTTTATGGATAAATTGGTTTAAATATTCTAATTTTTTTTCATACTAAGAAATGCAAATTAAAAATAGTATTTTAACTAAATGTTTAATAGAAAATCTTACAAAAGGCGAAATACTTTAAGAAACCAAGATACGTAAAATCTGAACCAGTTATATTTGCCCTGGTGTCCAAAAATGCTGCGGAAAAACAGTTTCTTTCTGCTTTTGTAAAGCAACAGCACTGTTCCTCAGTTCTGACAAGCCGTCCAAACCCCTGGTTTCCAAACAAAGACCATGTGCTGTACATATTATTTTCTATTCTCTTGTAAGGAAATATCCCGCACTTAAAGAAGAATTTTAATTTATCTTCAAATGGAAATACCTTTTGCCTTATTGATTTCTAGTTGACGTATATTTTCAAATTTTATATCTTTATTATTTATATATTTTAAAACATTTTTCAAGATGAAACGGATAAATATTTTTTTGGCCAGGTACAAGTATCATCATATGGAAAAGTAATTTTGTTTAAGACACTATCGAATACTAAATGTAAGTACCTCTTCCGATTGAAATTTAAATTTTTGTTCGCCAAATTGTGAAGGATTACTATTTCTGGCTAGATCCAACCCGTACAACGGATAAATTTATTAACAGCATAGTTGCCATAAATTTTTTTTGCTAAGCATAAGTATTTTCTTATTGAAGATAATCCTATTTGAGGAATTGTTAAGCACTAAATATAAGCATGATCAACCTCATATGCGATGTCATTGCTGTGAGCCCATTTCCAAAAAAATTATTAGTAAGTGACAATCCGTGGGCCTGAGGCCCTTTTGGGTCCTATAACAGCCCAGGTTAAAAATTCCCTAGTGTAATCCTTCTCTAATGTTTGTATTTAATATTTACAATTTATTTTGTTTATTACATTTGATTAGTTACGAATGAGGGTTCCTTCTAGCTAAAGAAGTTAGTTTCAAACAACTTGATAAATCGAAGTTTGAATCCTTATTATAAAAAGTGCCTATATTTAATAGCTGAAAGTGTCTTCAACAGATAAATGATCAAACAAGACCCTGTTTGGGAGGGTTTTATAGCTTTACCAATACCAAATACCTTACTCAAAGCCTTGAGAAGTACCAGATTGTGAGTTCCAACTTCACAACATCATTTGTCATCATTAGGCCTGATCTAATGACCGTATTTTTTTTTTTGGGGAATACAATATACTGCAGAAAAACAGAACTAAATTTTTTTTTTGGGGCAAGAAAAAACAGAACGAATTAGGATGTGAAAATTTCCTACGCCCAAGTGGCTCCACTGGCAATTTTGAAGCTTATGAATTGCTACCTGAGGTCCTAATTATAAGAGCTAGTTAACTAATTTGAGAAAATTAAAGAAAGAAGTTAAATTAGTTATTAATAATAAATAGGTGTTGTCTTTCCTACAATGTCCTTGCTAATGAAATGTGTTAATTAGAATTATCATTACTAGAAGGACTACTTTGGAAAAAAAAAGTGTAAATATGAGAGACAAAATAGATTGGGATCTTATATTTAGAACCAAAATAAAAGTTAAATAAGATCTTATATTAAGGACTAGAGGTAGTACTGTAGACAGTTCTATAGGGATACCGTCATTATTGAAAGCACATGGAATATAAGGTACAGCATATATCACATTAGAGTCAAATCAAAACAAAACAGAACAATTGCAGAGAGCACAACTTGCAAGCATCGTAGAGAAGAAAGGCGACGCAATTAAGACGATCCACCCCAAAAAGAAAATGAGCTTGAAGGATGGAACGAGACGAGGCCTTATTATTCTCAGTTCATCCAACCAAATCCACCGACAGTACTGAACACAAACAATCACATAGAGGGAGAAAGCGATGACAACGACGGCGGCTCCTAACGGCTCATGCCACCATGAACCGCCGGAGCAACCGTCTTGACACCCATAGTCTGCATTTCCACATTTCCTTGCCATCCTGTTTATATATATATATATATATATATAAATATAATGTCATATGCAGCTATTTAATTATGAGAAAGAAGGCACAGAAAGAGAGAGATGGATGAGAGCTAATCATTTACCAGCGGACATGTCGAATCCGCGAGCTTTGAGCTCACGATACTCTTGGCAGAGGGCCATGTGGGGGCAGAAGAAACTGGCTAAACAATCACCAGCTTGGTTGCCTCTTATATTATACTCATTCCTCAGCTTGGTTCGGTAAATGCAGGCAAAGCATGACACAAAATATGAGAAGCCCCCTAGTATGCAGAATATCGTTCCTTGCGCGCAACAACCTGCCACCATATATGTATACATACACACATACACATAAATATTTATATGTATAACACAACAATTAACTAACCCCTCCAAATCACTTGAACCAGCTTCCACGATGAGCATCTTAAATTCACCAGATCTCATTTGAATAGTCTATATATAAAATTTTTAATTAATTATTTTTAAATAAAAAATTATCTTTTAAAAAAATGATAGTTAAGAGATTATCTCTATTTTAGATTCTATAAATATTAAAATAATTATTTTGAGCAAATAAAAATCGAAAAGAAATCAAATCCAGATCATCCAAATGAGATATAGACTATCTAGATCTGATAAGTTTAGGATGCTCTCAACTGGTTCCCAAATTTCTGCGTAGTTATCACCTCACAATTAAGCCTTAGCTTATTGGAATTCCCAATTAATTATAACACTTTTGAGAGTTTTGCCAAAGTTTCGGTTCTTGGGATTATCAGCAATATGACTGCTTAGCTTTGCTCGAAACTCCAAAAGCAAAAGACGGGAAATCAATAAAAGAGGAGAGGCAAAGTAAAGACTAACTGGTTGTTCCTCTATCTACGATCTCTGCTATCCTTCCGAAAGTGACACATGGACACCACATCGTGAGGCAACCTACTCATAATAAACAGCAACCAACAACAATATGAGAACGTAGGTATTATTTGGTTTGCACGAAGAAATATGTTTCGGGTTGTGTGTGTGTGTGTGTGTATGGGTTATAAGACGGGGATGAAGAAGAAGATTAATTGAACTTACAAGTGCCGCAATCGGAGCAGCAGCCACAGAGGCCGGAGGACCACCGCGAATCGCCGCCTGACATCTTTGGACAGAAACGACCTGGTGGATTTCGCAGCAAGAGAAGTTCACTGATTTCAAGAGAATATGATGGTGAAAACTTGGTTGAAATATTGCTCTGTGAAGAAACAACCAAAAGACGCTACTACTAATTAGATTTTGAAAGCATCTTCTTGTTTTGCCACTAGCGTTGGACTGTTCTCCCACACGTTCCGAATTTATCATGAACAGCATAAAGCACCAAACAAAGAAATTTTGATTCCTCCCTGATAAAACACGTTGTAATAATTATTAAATTGATTCTATTTTTTTTTTATTGTCACACAAAATCCTATTTGAGTCATGGTCGGATACTAAACATGAATAAAGATTTAAATCTTTATTGGTCACTCTGTAATAGGCCAACTCTTCTCACTAGGCAACCCAATCTCATATTATGATTGAATATTCTCTTTGTTAATATGTAAAAAAATTGAGTAAATTAAAATACCAGAGGCATTGATCCTCTTCCTCTTCGACTTTACTGTGTTCATGGACAGAATATTTAACCAGTAAAGTTATTTGAGGGACGTATATTTAAGATGAGACTTGGATTATTGACATACGTATATAGCTTCCTTTGCAAGAAAGACGGAAAAGACTGTGATTTATATATGGAGTTTGATATTTGTGTAACTCTGGTATTTTCTTCTCACTTGTTTGGATCGAATAATATTGACATGTACGTGTTACCCACCAGCACAATAAGGCGTCAGATAAACCAAAAGATGATGGAGATAATTTTCCGACATGCATGGATAGAAACCAAATCATAGTTTCAGAAGTGCTTTTACGGATTACGAAGTAAATATGTGGAAGAGTTTATCTCGTTTTACGGAAAAGTGCTTCTGAAACTTAGGTTTTGGTTTTGCCAAACAACCCCTTAGAAGAAGTGCAAGCTGGCCCGCACTAATTAATTAATTTGTGGGTCATGTGTTAAACCAATCGAAAGCAGGCAATATCCACTAGTTACAGTGTCCGATGACATCACATGCTTACATCACACTTCCAAGGTATTTACGACGTGGTTAATTAATGGATTTTTCAGTAAGACTATTAAATTTAAAACTCATTAATTCTATCTTAAAATTTAATGATTTTTCAACTTTATTTCTTTGTAACATACATATTTTTGAAAAAAAAATATCCGTCTACATAATAATAAATAAAAAATAAGATTAAATATTCACATTAAAAATTTAATAGTGTAACTCATAAATAAATAGGACTGAAAAAGCTTTAATTATTCTCTCCAACTTAAAAGTTAGAAATAGGATTAGATAAGTAACTAGCACGGAATTCCGTGTAAATAGCTGAATAGCAACAACTAACAATAAAATACTGTAAGCTATTTATATATCCTTCATTGAATTCTCAAACGTTCTTGTTTTCTTTATATAAAGTATAAACTAAAGTAACAGAAATTATAATCCATCAAGCTAATTAAATAAACCAAAGTAAACACACTTATCACATATACAGATGAAATCCACTAATAAGGAAAAAAGACATTGCTTTTCTTATATAGGGGGGAAGATGAATTCTGCATGGTCTTTTTCTTTGAACGCTCTTGATTTGATTTTTAGACCTTATACCAAATAATTATGATGAGATTTAGACCTTGCACTAAAATATGTCTGGTATTACTTTTAGAATAATTTAAAGCAGAATTAACCTTATATACTGTTCATGGACCTTCGACATATATTCATGATCAATTCGAAGATAAATTGAACCTAGGATTTCATGCAATTTAGTCACTATATCAACTCAACGCCAAGAAGTTACAATTTGTGCGTAAGAAATTATAATAGAAGTGCTTGGAAAGTTTTAAAATAATCACTTTTATGTTTTATGAGATGAAACTTTTTTCCATACATTTTACTTTGTATGACATAAAAGTACTTTTTTTTAACCTAATATCTAAGCAGCTGGTCAAAAAGAAGAAGAAAACCTAATGTCTAAACAAGCAATTAGTAATTCCTAGAAGATGCCTCAAAGTGATTAAAAGCTTAATAGAATGATAACCATAATATAGCTTATATTAATAGTAGCACTTGCACCCTATTAATTATAACTACCATATTCATACATAAAACATCACAGATTTTCCATACAAATACGTGAACCACATACTTCAAGACAATAATTCATGACACATACCCCCACCACAAGTCTTATATATATTCACATAACATACAACAAAACACCAAAAGGGCTTACAAAATATACTATGGCAATATTGAAGTTTACTTATTTCTCCAAATTAAAACATGTTTGCTGAGAGATCTCATATCGTAATCAAGAGGAGGAGCTCAGTCACTAGCGAGTCATGCCACCTTGCACCTCCGGAGCCGTCACCGCCACAGCACCGGGAGTCTGCAGCTCCACATTTCCTTGCCATCCTTCAACAAACAAGAACATTAATTTCCCCGTAATTAATTAAAAGTGTTGATTATACCTGAGGAAAATTAAAGTAAATTTATGCGACAAAATGTCTTGTTAGATTAATTTACCGGCAGACATGTCGAATCCACGACCTTTGAGCTCACGATACTCTTGGCAAAGCGCCATGTGAGGGCAGAAGCTACTCACAATTCACTGCCTTCGATCCTATAGAGCTTCCTCAACTTTGTTCGATAAATGCAAGAATAGATTGACACAAAATGTGTAAAAGCACCCAGGATGTAGAATAGTGCTCCTTGTAGAATACAATCTTCCAACACACATATATATAAAAGGAAAAAGAGTTAACCATTAATTCAACTGTTAAATGTGGGGAACGACGACTGGGATGATCAAGGTTGAGATAAAATCATTTGATAAATGAAACATTTTAGAGTAATTATTATTAGTATTATTAAATTACGCGCACACACACAACGAGACATTGAACATGAATAAAACAAATGTGTGACACAGGCCTACTTGTTGCTCCTCTATCTACAACCTCTGCAATTCTTCCGAAGGTGATGCATGGACACCATAAAGTCATGCAACCTATTCATTTTTGGGGAAAAAGGAAAGGATTAGTCACCTTGCACACATATATATAGAGAGAAGGGGGGGGGGAGGGGAGAGAAAGAGTTCTGTTTGATACGAGAGAGAATTTTCTCCAAGTGTAGGAAGATCCACGTCAACAAGAGAAAGATAGGGAAAAAATTTTTTGGTGAGCCTTACGTGCATGGGGCTAACAAACCTCTCTATCTTTCTCCACCTGACGATAATCCTGGCCTATTTGGTACATTATGATATTAATGTCAAAGTAAAAAATGTAACTTTTTTATATAGTTCTATTCAACACTGGTATGCATAATAGCATAAATGTTAATCTTTGGTGCAGTATTGATGCATACATCACAGATCCACAGTGAGGAGGAGAAGGAGGAGATCAAAATAAAGAAGAAGAAGAAGAAGATGATGATAACTTACAAGTTTCACAGTCTGAGAAGCATCCGCATAAGCCAGTGGACCATGAAGCTGGCTGAGCTTTTGTGAATTGATGATGACGAGTTTAAATTAAAGGAGGATGTGAATTGATGACGAGTTTAAATTCAAGGAGGATGTGAACTGATGTTTGTTTTTGTACCAGGAGAAGTAACGAAGAAAACTTGGTTCACTACAAAAAAAATTGACTTTGTGTCGCCGCTGAAAGTATAAAAGTCACCGTTGAAGAGTCGTTGCCATAGCAGCCGTGGCTGAAAACTTTCAGCGGTGACTTTTAGAAGTTTAAGCGGCGACATTTGTCCCGGCTGAAAGACACTTTCGGCGGCGACATTCTTGCCACCGCTCAAAGAATTTTCAGCAGCGATAATTTGTCAACCCCAAAACAATTTTCAGCAGCGACAATTTGTCGTCGCCAAAAAGGATGTTCAATGGCAACTTTTTTGTCGCTGCTGAAAGTGATGCCTAAGAAGAATTAACTTTACCAACGCCACATCATCACCACCGGTTGCCACATCATCATCGCCGGCGCCACGTCATCACTAGCCACCTCCACCATATCATCAACCAGGTGCCACATCATCACTAGCCATCTCCACGTCATTGCCACATCACTCTTCCCCTGCCACGTGATCGTTCAAATATTTTTACTTTAAATATGTCTTCTTCAAGGTTCGAACTCGTGGTCACCTCCTTTTGTGTCCAATCTTCTTGCCGCTGAGTCAAATTGAATTTGTTTATTAATATTATAAAATAAAAAATATATTATTATATTACACTTTCAGCGGCGACATTATAAAGTCGCCACTGAAAGTCAAACCTTCAGCGGCGACCATAGAATGTCACCGCTGAAAGGGAACCTAATGATTATATCACCTTCCGCTCAAAGGTATACTTTCAGCGGTGACATTCTATGTTCGCCGCTGAAACTCAGATCTTCAGCGGCGACATCAAAAGTCACGGCTGAAAGTTTCCTTTCAGAGGCGACAAAAAAAGTCGCTAACTAAAAGTTCCCTTTCAGTAGCAACTTTCAGCGGTGACTTTTTTTGTCGCTGCTGAAAGTCGTTGCCTAAAGTCTTTTTATTTTTTTATTTTATGTAGTGGTTCAACTTCCCTTAAATAGGACTACAAGAGGTGAAATGTCACTTAAGGATTCTCTGTACAAGGTATTCATGATATTTCATGACCTCACGAAAGCAAAGTGGATTGAATAGCAAGGCGCACAATCCTCTTCTAAATTTTGTAACAATGACCAAAGTTTTCACTTGTATTTTCAAAATTATTATCATTATTATTTCTTTAAGTCACTTCTATGGTCCTATTTATGGGACAGAAAGAGAAGAAAATTTATTATTCTATTTATAAGGCAGGGAGAGAAAATTTTCATATGAATATATAACTTTACCCTTCATTTATTATTGTGCTAACTTTGTTTTCATGAGGTATATTGTATATTAAATAAAGATAAAGTTAGAAAATTGTTGGATTTTAAATGAAAATTAATAAAGTTTGAATTTTATTAATCTGTGTGAAATATGTTGGATGTGA